GTGAGTATCAGTCACCTGTGGGCGATAGCCATGTGATGTGAGTATCAGTCACCTGTGAACCATAGCCATGTGATGTGAGTATGAGTCACCTGGAGGCAGGACTCAAAAGCCTGAATTTTGCCTGAAACTCTCAGACTGAAGAAGTCTCTTGGAAGAGAGACGAAACGTTTCATTAAAGAAGAACCCGTCCAGAGGACCTGTACAATTTTTTTTTCCTTTTGATTTTTTAACTGGATTACTGAGATGCATCAGGACATTTTGAACAAATCCTTTAAGTTAAGCGAAACAGCCTCAGAAGAAGCAACAGATGGGGGGAGGCCGATTCAGGAAGAGGAGGAGAGGAAAGAAGAGTGAGTGATGAGGGGAGGACGAGGAGACGTCTGAGGACCACCGTGTCTGCCCACCGAGTCGTCCTCCCCTCTTCTGTCTCACTCCTTCCTGTTTTACTACAATTTCTGCTCCTCTCGTGTATCTTATTCTCCTCTGTTATCCCCCTCCTCTTGTTTCTTTTTTCTCTTACAGTCGCCGTTATTCCTCGTTCTGTTTTCACAGCTGTCTTTCTGCAGTGCTGCACTTGTTCTCCTTTATGGTCTCATCTCGTTACGTTGTTTGTGCCGCAGAAAGCTTGATGTAAGAACTTTAAGGGATGTTTGAGCTCGAACATTTGTACAGCAGTCCTTGACCAAAGTGTTTTAGAGCAAAACTGACAGATGTGATGTGAAACACTCTCAGCTACAACATCAAAGTTTAGCTCAACATCTGTAGAATTTAGTTTTTTGACGTTTGTGCAGCTAAGGTTAAGGTTTAGGACCAAGGTGATAATTTAATTTAGTTTAGCTTTAGGGTCGGGTACGTACCTGTGAGGTTAGTTTTAGGGTAAATGGTCAGGGTAAGGATAACAATTACTAAAAAAATTGTGTTGTATAAAGTACCTCAAAGTGATACTTGAGTAAAAGTACAAGTATCTTATCATAAAAATACTTTGGTAAAGTTAAAGTCTTCTCTAAAAATGTTACTTGAGTAAAAGCCTTAAAGTATCTGATATTTTTTGTACTTAAGTTTCAAAAGTAAATGTCTGACACAAAATCTACTTAAGTATTAAAAGTAAAAGTACTGAGTDMRABKGADYAGTTAGATTTTCCAAAATGACATTTATTGGGAGGTGACTTCTCCAAAAAAATTTCTTCTAACGGCGTGCAGCTGTGATGGGTTGTGTACAAGGTAATAAGGTGTCAGAATGGTATATATTTATACTTCTCATCCAAACACAATTAAATTCACTCTATCCAGGAGACACTATTTATCAGGATAGTATTTTTTAAGTAATAACAACTCAGAATAAAATAGGAGCGACGACTTTCTACTTCTTACCTTTTTAAAAAATGTAGTGAGTAGAAAGTACAGATGATTGTGTAAAAATGTAATGAGTAAAAGTAAAATGTACGCTGAAAAATAATTACTCAAGTAAAGTACAGATAACCAAAATTTCTACTTACTGTAAGTACAGTAACAAAGTATTTGGATTTAGTTACTTTACAACTCTGCTAAAAAATGAATGGAAGTCAATGGAAAGTCCCCACAAGGATAGAGAAATATGGTATGTGGGTGTGTGGAGTCATTAGAGTCAAACCTAAATGCAGACAAAACATTTAAACTAGTCAGAAAACCGCAGAGGGGAGAAGAAATTAAGAGGAAAAATGTGAGAAACAAAAAACAGTAAACTTAGTGCTTACATGACTGAATTTTGTATAAAATTACATCCAATAAATAAACCTGCAGAGTCATTAAAGACAACATGAACTATTCATATTTTATGTTTTACTTCACAAATAAATTTCATGTTTTTGTTGTTTGTAAACATCTAAATGCACTTTTCATCCCTGTAAAAATGCCAGTTCACAGAGGCAGTGCCGCTGTAGCCATTTTGGTGCCCTAGGCCAGGGGTTGTTAAGCCATTTTGGTCTGGGGACCCCTTACAAGGGTGAAAAAAATTCCAGGGACCCCCTCACAAACCAAATTCCTGTTTTAATATATAGTTTATTGCCATTTCAACCCCTAAATGCCATGGGAATATATATTTTTATAAATTTTTTGTTTGTTATATTAGTTCGTTGTTATC